CCATCGTTCTAGACTATTCTCGACTTTGTGGAAAACAAGAATAACCCGAACAAGGATAATGGAACAACACCTGAGACCCTTTATCATCTCGTAAACTAGGATTCGTATACACGATACCTTTCCTTTCCCGATGCTATATGTATCTCTCGGAATATCCTTCTTATATATATATATATATATCAAAACGAATGTAATATTGGGATAAAGTAGAAGGATTTAAACAAATAACAAACGAACGAGAAGGTGTGAAACATAGGAAAGTATTCTTTGTAATACTATGAGATAAAGCTAAGAGAATGTAACACGTTCAAACAAAAGTTTCATACTAATAACGTGTAAGTATTACAAATGAGTATAGATCAAACACAGTATATACAATGAGATAAGCACCTGGGTAACCTGGTAAAACGAAATAAACGGCAAGGAAAGTTTCGAATCGTCAGAAAAGCAGAAATAAACGTAAGAACCGAAAGCTGAGGTACCGAAACGAAAAGTTAAAAGACAGAGAGTAAAAGAAGAGTAAGAGGAGGAGAAGAGGAGAAAGAGGAGGAAGAGGACGAGGAGGAATACACGAAGTATTCTTGACTTATTCATGTTTTCCCCCAAGAGCCAACGGGCATGCGAAGAAACGTACGTGACCGAAGATATTCCTGGGCCCCCATATTCTCACTGTATTTACACGTGTTGCTTGAATATACACATACGTGTACGTAACGCGTGTGCATACAACAAGAGATGCACGAAAATATGCAATGAGTAAGAAAAAGTAAGAGAGAGAGAGAGAGGAACTGCGAGATGGCCGTTCCGAGAATATGTATGKATGTACTATGCACCGTAACGGTACCATGGAGACCATGGGATGACCCTGCCTGTGTAAATGCGCGACCTCAACGAAGACGAGACCTCGCGAAACCAGTAGGTAGTTGTAGTAGTAGTAGTAGTATTAGTATACTTCCTCAGTCACCTTATCCTTCTTCTTTTACTCAACTTCCTACTTCTCCTTCCACCACTCACGCACACTTTTTTACCTCGGGCGCGTGTTTTAACGCTCAACTTTTCAAATGTTCTTCGGTGTCCTTTTTTTTTGCAATCCCGTGGACAGGAAGACATCACAGAATACATTTGCCGTGTCCTCGTTGAATTTTCTCTTAGGTCACTGAGGTCTCTTACTCTCTTCCTCTCTCTCTCTCTCTCTCTCTCTCTCTCTCTCTCTCTCTCTCTCTCTCTTGGTTCGTTCTTTATACACAACGAATTTATCTTTATTTTATTTTTATTATACTTTAGTCTTCCTACTTTGTAAGATTCCATTTAAATTCTAGACTATATATATTTTATAATAATACGAAATAATATTTAATAATAATATTTTTAAATTAAATTATAAATATATTATATTTAATATTTTGTATATTTTATTTAATATATATTATAAATTAATTTTATTATAAATTTAATAATAATTATTAAATACTATATTTTAATATACTATAAAAATATATTTATCTCGTTATGAACTTTTGTTCTTTTTTTGTTGGATAAACGTTAATTAAAATAAATTCCATCACGTGTGTAGTACGTAAGAGAAATATTATTTCCGTGATTTAATATTACGATAAGAGGAATTATAACGTTTTAATTTACATTAATCAATTTTCATTAAAGATTTCAGGTAAGAGATAATGAGATAAAATATTAAAAGAAATATATAACGAACGTTTCTTTTAAACCTTACCTTTAGAGGTATAAACGAAAAATATTACCCCCGTAGTATCACCCTATCATTATTCGATCATTCTCTTCAGTGAGGTATAGACGGACGCGCGGTCGATCCTATCGATATTCGACGGTTCTTCGGAACGTGTCCTTCGTCCCTACGTGCAATTCGTATGCCATGAGCTTCACGATCTCCCGAGGGATTCATTTTTATAATGGCAAAATCGTTTCATGAGTTATTACATCGAAACGTGTCAAGCTTAAAGAAACGAAGGACGACAGGAAAGGCAAAAAAAAAAAAAGAGGAAAAATAAAACAGAAAGATAACAAAATGAAAACAAAAAAGAGGTCAAGAAATTTCGTAAGAAAAAAGGACAAAAAAGATAAGGTCGGTCCAGTTGTGTCCTTTAGAATCGATTTAACTCTGATCGAATTATAAAAACTGCTAGTTTATTTATACCTTTTCTTCGTACGAAGAAGTTCACGACAAGATATATATATATTTATTGATAAGGTATTGTAAATTATATAATAATATAAAATATTTAATTAATATATATCAATTACGAAGTAATAAAAACCTAAGACTTAT